AGCATCTCCGTGTTCTGCCTGCACAGCACCTAGCACAGCTCTGGCCCAGAATTTACTTTAAATTAAGCAATATGGTAGAACTCCACTGCTTTTAAAGAGTAAGTTAAAGACAAAGAGTGCATGTGGTGGTTTCAAAAAGTCACGCAGGAAAAGCTGACATGGGGGAGGACAAGGGGCTTAGCTGAGCCAAATATACTGCTTTTAGCAGTGGATATTTGAGGCTACATTTGTCGCTCAGGTCACACAGAGCTGGAGGAGGGGAGTCCTTCCTGACAACTGCACTGATTAGCTGGTGCCCTGAAGAATGATGTTTGATTACCTTTATCTTAGCCTGCAGAACTGCAAATGTCACTAATGGTCATAAAATCACCCAGTCTTTTTCAAAATACAACCGAAGTAAATTAGTCTATTGAGCACAGTTTATTCAATACTTGTTACTCTGGCAAAACTCCCAAAAAATCATTTGCTTGCTGCATGCCTCCACCATATGGTGTCATTCAATGTAGACTTTCTTTCTCGCATTGAAATCCAAAATTTAATGGTGTTGCGTCACCTACAGGGTTTTTCCAGCTCAAACCTACTAACATAGTTTTCTGTCAGAGAGGTTGCATAGTGCTTTCTGGTTTGGTAAATTAACCTATACTAGTATGAACACTCCTTTTGTAATTAAAATCAAACTCTGGTTTTAGCAGGTTTGAAGGAAGCCCTGAGAAGAGAAGAGCTGATGTCCAGAAGAGGACAGTGTCAGCAGTCTTTACCTGGTTTCAGAACTTAAAAGTCCTGGCCAGTTGCTGATATACTGTCCTATCTGCAGGTCATTTCTTATACCAACATTGCAGCAATCATAAATAAACCAACAAACAAGACATGGAACAGTACTGGGAAACTAAAGCAGTGAGGGGCCATTTTACATGGAGCCTTACTGCCATGCAACGATGGACAAAAGAAGTAAATTCTGGGTACTTTGTATACCTTGAGCAGGCAACAGATGGATGCTGGTTTTGCTAGAAATATGAACTCAAAACCAGGAGAAAGATGCCTGACTGCATTTATCTATGCTGGTATTTCACCCTCTCCACCAGATCTTCCTAGTGTCAGCTAGATGCTCCATGACTCAGTTTCCTCAACTGTAAAATGAGACCACACTTTGAAAACTCTGGTTTTGACACAATGGAGTCATCTTCAATCAACAGTTTTAGAAAACGCCAGCCATGCTCTGGCCCCACTACCTATCAGTAACACACCATCTCACTCAGCAAAGACTGTTATTACAGTGATGAAGAAGCCACAAGCTCTGCTTCACACAGCATTTCCTCAACTTTGGAAAGCTGTGTGTCCTTTCATGTAGCAGTCTCCCTTCACTCTTGCTGTGCACCCCCCACAGATGCTGCCTAATGGCGCCAAAGACTTCAGCACTACTCATCCCTCATGCTATGCAGTTTTATGGCTCATCTTTCCCTCTGTACTCCACCTATGACTTTCTACTACCCCTGCCCCACAGCTGTGCAAAATGCTGGTATGCTCTGCAGAAGGAGACACTTCCCCTTTGTACTTACTCACTTGGATGAACACTAAGATAAATTAAACCTCAGCATTAACCCTCTTATCACTGGAGTTGGGGCAAGCAGTCATTGAAGGAGGTTTTACCACTTCCCAATGCAATCATGACATGCCAGGAACATGCTCACAGGCAGCTATCAGAGCTCAGATGACAAAGCAGTAAATTGTTAGATCAAGCTGTCTGGATAATTTCTGACTGCTGACCCACACCCCGAGGCTGCCATAGCTGCTTCGGAAATACTTGCTTCAGAGAGTGTCTACGACTAAGGATTATCCTGTTTCAGTGAAAGCTGAGAATCTAGAGAGACAGTATGGAGTTCTGCAGCCCTCTGCCCAGCCCAGCCAGCACACCAGGCATCCCAAAGTGCCACCCACCCTGCCTGAGGGCCTGTAATAAAAAAAAACAACTCCCAGAAATGGAAAATAGACAAAGAGGCAATAAAAAGTTGTATCGAGTAACACAAACACTGGAAAACACCCAGTCCACATACAAAGTGCTTGGGTAACAGCAGCCAGATCCCAGGATACACCAGCTTATCAGGACATCACAAGGCAGAAGAGCAGATTTGGCTACCAACAGCTGCAGGCCAAATGTGTCCCACAAAGCACTGCACTGCTGGAGGCAGCTGCCCTCATCTTTACAGCAGATGTCCATCCTGTGATGGCTTTGGTGTCTGGCGTGACATGCTCCATCATCAACTGATCTAAAACAGAGCAGATCCCACAGACCTTATCTCAATCTCATTGTCTGTGTCCCAGCAGGTGGGGACACAGCCAAAACTAAACCAGTGAAGATGAGGAGCTGCCCTTGCTCCTGTCACTTACACTTCCTCCTGTGCTGTCCACTTGCGTAAATCCATCTTGTGTCCAGAGGGCTCCTGGACAAAAACAGGGCTTTATCCTTAGGGAAACTTTTTTCCTATTGCTGTTTCCTTCTGACTGTGCTCTCTGCACATTCTGCATCCTCAGCAGCTGCTCCCCTGCCGACCACAGCTTTCTCTTAGCACCCCTCACCTGGCAGCACCAACCCTTCTTTGCAATCCTCACTGGATTCTGCCAGCATCCCACTTGTCCAATCCCAGCTTCTCTGGCATCTAAACCCCCTGGTCCCTCTTCTAACCCTACCTCAACCTTGATTCAGACTACACTACAACCCTCACCACCCCCACTGGACTTCTGGTATTGCCCTCCATCATAGACAGTTCCTTCACAGCAACCAAGGTGTAAATTTCTCCATTAATTCCACATTGCCTCTTGCCAAACCATTTATCCTCTTGAGCACTTCTTTTCTCCTTGGGTCCTCTCTTTCTCTCATCAGCACCAAAACTCCACTTCCAGCTCTCTCACAGCATATTCTTAAGTCTTGTTTTCAGTGTAGAATGTCCCTCATCTCCCTAGCCCTTTGCAGAAATCCCCAGACCACACAACATTCCAGCAAACTATTCTAGCCAGCCAGTGTTGACTGGGTTTTCCCAGTGATTCACCAGCCTGTTCATCCACCCTAAGTGGCAGGTTTATTTAAGCCCCTGAGCATCCTCCTCAGTCCTATCCATCTCTGAATATCCAACTCTTTCATCCAGACTTTCTCTGTCATGACTAAACTCCCCTTCCAAGACTGTTATTCAACAATCAGCCCTTCCACCTCAGCAAGCTCTCCTATAGCTCCCTCACCTCCTGCACCAAGGATCCAAGCTCCATGTTGGTGCCTTCCCACCTTGCCTGGACTGTTCAGCGTCCTTTCATAGTCACAGATGCTGTCAGGCCCTGCACAGTACTCAGTCCCTGAACACTGTCCTCCATCCTTGCCAGGCTTTTCCATTGTTCTTTCCCTCCTCAGATCAAGTGGGCCACTGCTGTCCTGCACCCCAGCCCTCCTGAGCACCCAACCCTCCATCACATCTTCCACACGTCGCTTGAATCACCCCCAGACAGGCTGACTCCATCCCAACAAAGTCTTCCCTCAGCATGTTCAAACCTTCCA